AGATTCAGCTTTTTGGTAAAAACCCAATACATTTCCTCCTGGATATGGCATACAATGAAACACTTGTAGATTTATGGTATATGATAAGGCACATTTTCTGTATCTCAAGAAATAATAGCACCCTCCCCATGAAGTTTTTTTCTTTTTTTCTATGATCGAGGTAGAATGGAACCCACCTGTGGTTCTCTTTTGCTTAAGACATGATTGATTTGATTATCTTCTTTATCCAACAACAACAGAAATGTTGCTCCTCCTTCATACATTGAGGCCAGATGAAGCATCTTTACCAGCTTCTATCCTGTATTTAACCACATTTCCAAACCTCAACTCCCAGTGCAAGTTGAAAGGACAGTTAAGATCTCAATTAAATCCTTCAAAAACTGAATTTACTCCAAAGCCTGTCTATCTATGGTTGGGTTTGATGGTACCTACCTACAGTGATTTGAAAACTGCAGCTCTTCCAGAGATATTTTCTGAGTGGAAAGCTCTTGCTTTCTCTGGCAATTCAAATTTCTAAATAAAATAATGGAAAAAGCTGATTCTAGCTGCTTGGCAGAAAGGCTAGTACCTATTAAACAGTTTCCCAGCCAGTATGGGAATTTTGGGAGTTGAAGTCCATGGATCCTAAAAGCTGACAAGTTGCACTATTGTGTTTACTTAATTCCCTTTAAACTCCTGAGGAAAGTGGGTTCTAAAACAGGGTATGATGCATGGAAACAAAAAGTAGCAAAAAAGAAGCAAAGTCATTCATTACTATATTCCCCTCAAGTATTTAATTTAAAAAACAAAACTATAGCTAAAGAGAAAAAACAATGTATTTCTTCATTGACTGGACAGTTCTTATTTAGTTAAACCATTGTTTTCAACCTTAATGAATGTAAATTCAAAGTTGCCATAGATGTCATCAGGAATGCATACAATGGTTTAGTGAGGCACATATTCCATGGTTCAGATGGAGAATTTAAATCAAATGGTGCTATCTAGTTCTCAAAAACCACTTAATGTCAAGTCCTTTATGTGCTGAAGCTAATACATCTTAAATCAACAGGGTGACAAACATCAGGCTCTGTGTTACATGTTTATGGGTTAAAATGCTCAGGTTACTCACATTTTAAACCAGCAGACAATTTTCTCTTAAAGAGAACTTTCTATCACCACGGTTTTTCCTAGCAGGTCAGGCAGACCGGGAGATGATGTAAGGCAGCCCTTCAGTTCAGACTGGATGGCAGAGCCAATAAGCCTGGCTAGAGCATCTTGTCTACCTTGCAATCTGCAGCAGGATTTTCACACGGGTCCTGGGATTCCATGACAGTTATGGCTATAATGAAATGTTTAAAAAGCCACATGCTATCTTTTCCTGGGGGACATGTGACAAAGCGATGTCCCAAGCATCCACAGCTAGTAAAGGCAGAAGAAAGCACCATGCTATATAGTAAGAGGCAATTGGACCATCACAGGTATTTATGAAACTTCTGGCATAATACCCATGAAGACAGTAGAAATGAGACCCACATTTTCTCCAACTTGCAGGGGAGGATAAAAGATGGACACAAGAACAGTTCATGCAGCAAGGCAAATGATGTTATTTTAAGCCTATCTGCAGGTAGGCATTTATTCTATGTAATTATTTTCCTGCATTAGTCAACTAGAGTTCCTCAAGCTTCTGGAAAATGTCCTTGGAAGTCATGTCCAGCTTTGCTTTGCAAATCTCATTGGGCATCCTCTTTTTATTTATTTATGCATTTGTGGGCTCACTTTCTCATTCATATAAAGCATTAGCCCAAAACTTTTTGTCACCTGAGGCAGAAGAGCAAAATCTGTTGCTTTTCTTGCTTGCAAAGTTAAAGATTATCATATCAAAATTAGCCAAATTATTTTGACATCCGAGGCAGAAAAGTCCACAAATTCCAGTCTCCCCTGCTGTAAAAACAATCAGTTCCAGGGCCTCTAGGTGGCACCTAAGATAGCCTCAATGCTGCGTATAGACAAAGTTAGCCTAAAGCAAGAGAATTGTGTGGGAATGATGAAGGCCTTCACATAAACCTGTCAAAGACAGCAGAATGGCAGGAGAGAGAGATGAAAACTTTGCTGCTTGGTATAAATGAATCAACTGGAGGACCAGAAACCTATATCTCAACAAACTGTAGAACCAATAAGAGAGGAAAAAGCACAGTCTACTACAGTGCCTGTATGTATGTATGTATGTATGTATGTATGTATGTATGTATGTGTATGTATGTGTGTATATATGTATGTATGTATGTATGTATGTATGTATGTATGTATGTATGTATGTATATATATATATATCAGGTGTCCAGGATAACTGCACCTGGCTAAAAGATGCTCCCCTCCTGACTATGGTCAGTTTCAGTGATGGGGGCCTTGATTTCCCTTGGACCCGAACCTGAGAATCTGAGGTAGATTCAAGGGGATAGGCAAACTTGGGATAGGATCTCAAAAGAAGTTATTGAGAAAAAAATACCCAATTCATTTGCAGCATCGAGGAAGCAAAATTAACTGCAATAGATGCTTCAAGTACTTAGCAGATCTCAATGTTGATCCTAATATTAAGAAAGGTTTTTTTTCCCAATGCTCTCCCAAGTATCTCTGCTCTGGACTGTTATATATCAATAGCTGCTTTAGTGGTTTTGTGGACTACAGAAAAAAAACCTACTCACTGCACTGGTGAAAAACGGAGCAAGCTTCAGATCAACCAGTGACATTAACTGCACAATCAATTTGCTCTGGTTATAATTATGACCATCATACAAGTCTTACTTACAAGAAACATTTGCCTGAACCCCTAATTATAAGTCATCTTATCTTAAGTTACTATGCTGAACCATTCAAACATGAAGGGCTTAGGCATTCTTTTAGAAAGAATTTCTGGAAATAGATTTATTCTAAAGATTATGTTCCAGAATTGAAAGATTGTCAGTGTGCTCCAGCCAAAAAAAGGGGACATCCTTTGAAGTAAGCAGGTATAAGATAAACATGGCACAGTGCCATGCTTAGGAATAAGAGAGAAATTTGTTCAATTAGTATAGGAACTTATCAGGCTCACTATTATAAATCTACATACTGCAATCTGCACTTTTCATAGTTTTGAGATACAATTTGCAATTCAAAAATAATCATATAAAATGTATATATTAAGGAGATGTGCACACAAAAATGTCTATATTAGGATAAGATATGAATATAGTTTTTAAGGAAAACTCAAGAAGAAAAGTGCATTAAAATGAGTATATTAGGTAATTCTTCTGCCACAAGAAGTTCAAAGATTGCTGAAATCGTCAAACACTGATTCATGTAAAAGGAAATAGATATATTTATCTATCCTTTGTTATGACTATTCTTTTAAGACTATGACCAGGTTCAGATTGATACTCTCTTTAAACTGAAAACCGCTACTTTTTTTCAGTATTAAAAATAAATTGACACATGCATTCAGGAAATCTCAGAGTATCTTTTTTTTAAATCAGAAATATAAAAAATATTATTATATTAAAGTCATCTGCTTAAGAATTTTTGGTAACTGAATGGCAGGAAAAACTACTCAAGTTTCACTATTGAGTTATGGCTTTATAAAGCATGGAAAGAGAACAGAGTTGTAACAAAAATGTCAGCTTTTCCTGACATAGTAGTAATTTTATCTTAGACATCAAAATGAGACTCAGCATCAGAAAAAAGCTATATAAAGTAAACATTTGGGAGAGTATTGGAAGAGAAATAGCAGAATTAGCTTTGGATTTAAAAAAAAATATTTAAAAAACCCGCAAGGTTAAAAAAAAACCAATTATTTTGAACAGAAAATTTCAGCTTTGCACATTTACCTGCTTCTGGTACAAAGAATTCTGTGTTCCCATTGAGAAGGAGGAATTTAGTTAAGCGCAATCCAAACAATGTTAAACATTTGTATATATTCCACCAATTTTAACTGGAAGTTTTAGCACATATTCAATTTCTCACTGAAATCAATACAAGTTTGCAGCCTGATTATATGCATATTTACTTAGAAGCAAGCCTCACTAACGTCATAGGAAATGGCCTTAAAATTTGCTCAACCTGACTGGATTTTGCCCGTTTTCCAGTAGGGAAAGCAGAGATTCCAACTCCTATGATAGCAGGAAATCACATTTTGTCCCTCCTTTGTGTAAGACAGATTTAACGATTTGTCACCCACTCCCAAATGCACATGCACTATTGAGGTGAACCACAATCATACTTAATCAAAAGGGAAATAGAGAACCATCCTTTGAACAGAAGCAGGCCTCATTTTACAAGCAGCGGACTCTCTTCACCTCAGAAATCTCACTGCAATATTGTTTCAAAGCAAGAGGAGCTACTCTGCCCATTATTACAACTAACTTAGGACAGCAATTATCAAGTGAATGAAAAAGTGCCAATAAAATAATGTAGCTACCACTTTTTTCTCTTCTCCTCTGGAATATCTAGATATATATTCATATCTAGCATATCTAAACTTGCATGTGATTCTCAGATAAATCCAGAGAGCTCTAAAATTACTCAATTATTTCAGCCCTTCCCTAGCTCATGGAAGCAGAACTGCTCAAAACTGATCTGCACAGATCAAGGAACATTCCAATGTGGTTCTGCTCTTTCTATGGTGATGAAGTTCAGTTGATTGAGAATTCAATTAGTCCTGAGAATGATGTCTAAAAGGTTGTGTTCTTCTTAAAAAGACTTTGCAGAGGAAAGCGCATCTGTTTTTCTCATCTGCAATACCATGAGTACCTGCCTGAAGTTTCCCATGAAGAATTGCTGGTCAATGGCCGCCTGATGCAGTAAATTCTGCCTCATGGTTGGTTCCACTCTTCTTTTAGCTAAACTACAGGCTCTTTTGCTTTGGAATCACCACGCAGAGGATAAATAAACAGATGTCCCGGTAGAATAGAAGCTGGTAACATGCGCTGCTTTCCCTGGTTGTTGTTTCTTGCATCTTTCTCTCTTATGCAATAAACCAGCAGCATTTTCTTTTCCTGTCATTGACTGAAGAAACGGCGAAGAATGAATTGGCCCAGCACAATCACTGTGATTATCATAATGTATTTCCAATAAATATTGCTCAAGTCCAGTGCTGCCACCTAGAGACAGAAGAGTACTGTTATAAATCCAAATTCTGTATTAGCCTTCTCCAACCTGGTGCTATCTAGAAGTGTCGGTTTTAAACACAGACCACTGCCATCAGCCTGCTCACTGGGAATGGTGGGAATTATAATCCCAAAGAGAGGAAGCATCAAATTGGGGAAGGCTGTTTTAAGATCTTCTCTCAGCATATTCTTTCAAAAGAGTAATTCTGGAAAGGGACCCTAGTATCTGAAGAACTAAAAAGTATACCCTTGGTCTTAGAAGAAAGATAACCATCCACAGTGCCTTTCTTCACTATTATTCATCAAGGTCCATGCATTATTTTACTGTCTGCTTAGCTGTTTTGCAACCTGGTTCGGAGGCAGAATGCATCTTTAGAAACAGAAAATATTTGGCTCAGTATCCCCAGATAGATTTAGGAATGCCCTTCCTGGAAACCACTTTGAACATTTTTGAACTGAGTGGCATATAAATTATAGCAAAGCAATCAACCCATCTGCCAATCAATCAATCAATCTTGGACAGCCTCCATCAAACAACGCCGTTGAAAATATTGCTTTATAGGTTCCAAAGGTCTCTGGCTCAAATTCCTGCTAAGAGCAGCTATGAATTTTCTTTGGCCTCTTCAGTTGAAAGAAGCAAGTAGGATGTTAGGCTTCCACATTGTGTCTGGAAGCCCTAGATTGTTACTGCCCATCAGAATAGATTCTAGTTGCCCAAATGGAGAAGGAGACTTTATACAAACTAGAGGCTCATATAATTTATATATTTCAAAGTGTACTCAGGTAAGATGGTTCTTCAGTTCACTTACCCATCCTCCTTGCTGCGCAATCCATTGTGCAATGCGATTGTGTAGCACAAATTCAGCCATGTAATGTGCAATTCTTCTCAGGAAACCAGTTATCCCATGCTGGTATACGTGGATTGCCATCCTGTAGCCGAAGCCCAGCAGGGCTATCACACGACCCCAATTGATGCCACTTTCAAACAAACTGAGGGAGAGAAGGTTAGTTCCAATTACAGGTTTTCAGTTCTTTTGCTGCTTCAGGAAAGGCATTACACAGATGCCTTGATCACAGCAACTAATATCTTGTTCATGCTAATATTCTAATGGGAAGAAGAACTGTAGCTTGAGCCTGGGAAAACACTTGTGCAGTTTAAGGAAACTGCTGACAGGTGTTATATGCGTACCTGTGCACTTTCTAAAGAAGTGTTTCTCAACCTTAACAACTTTACGATGACTGGATTTCAGCTCCCAGAATTCCCCAGCCAGCCAAGTCCCACTCATCGTCAAGCTGTGAAACACTGTGTAAAGTACCTTTCTTCCTCTGAATCTGATGGGCTTCCCAGACTAATGCTAATCATGATGATGATTAGATTTTGATTCCATCTTTTTACATATAAAACTCAAGGCAATGAACATTAATGCTCCTGGCCTGTTTCCTATTACTTGTTCTGACAATAAATCTAGGAGAAAGGCTGAGATGCCACATGTTTCAATCTCTAGGCTTTTTCAAATGGTTTTGAAAAGTTTAAACACAAAGACCTGTTTCAGACTGGACAACCTGCCCCCCACGATCCCTTTGTTTGACAACCCTGGAACGTTACAGAATCCCAACACCAAAATTTGGCAACAAATCACTGAATGTAAGCAGTGCAAGTTCTTACCAATTTCTAAGGGGAAAAAGAAAAGACAAGATAATTTTTTGGAAAAGCTCAGCATCCTAAGCAAGGAAGCGGGGGGGCGGGGAACCCTATGAAATGATGGAAAAATATGAAATATCTGTCATTACATCTTTGCTTTGCCTTTCTGGTCACTGGTTGCTGAACAT